GAGGGGATCCAGGAATGCCGAGGGAGGGATCGGAGCCCACGGAGCGCTGGGAGGGGGGGGGTTGGAATTCCCAAAATCTGGGATCCCCCTGGCTTTGGGAAGGGGCCGTTCCCTGTTCCAGGGGTGGAATGGGTGTATCCATGGGGGGACTGGATCCAAGGGCTCTTCCCAAGCTCCGGAGAGCCCCGGGATTCTTTTCGGCACCGATTCCTCCCCGTTTTTTTTTCCCTCCAGTTGATTTTTCCTGATTTTTGTGAGGCCCCTCAGGATTTGGGAATCGCCTCCTCCATCCGGGAGCTCCCAGGCAAAGGGGGAGGGAGGAGAGGCAGGAAAACACATTCCTTGGGCTTTTCCCAGCAGGAATGTGCTGACTCAGCTCCTCCGGCAGCTCCGGAGGAGGAAAAACTTCCCTGCCCGAAATGCCAGGATCCCAAAATCCTTTGGGAATCACTCCTGGGAAAGGATTTTCTAGAATAAACAGGGATTTATGATCCAGGTGGTGGTTTTTTTTTTCCTGGATCCCAGAGGGATTCAGCAGGGAAAAGTCTTGGAGCTTCCTTGGGGGAAAAGGAACTGGGAAAGGGACTGGAGAACCGGGAATGGCTCAGGGAGCTGGGGGGGCTCAGCCTGGAAAAAAGAGGGATTGGAGGGATCTTCTCATCCCCAAGAATTCCCTGATAGGAAAGGGGAGCCGGGTGGGATTTGGGATCAATCCCAGGGGATGAGGGATGGGATGAGAGGGAACGACCAGGGCAAGGTCAGGTGGGATATTGGGAATATTCCTTCCTGGAAAGGGGTTGGAAAGTCACCATTCCTGAGGGGAATTATCCCTGTGGATGTGGATCCCCTGGGAATGTTGGACTCGGTGGGCTCGGAGGGATTTTCCAACCTCACCGATGCCGGGTTTGTGTTTGGGAATGGCAGGAGGGACGGGACACAGGGAATGGCTTCCCAGGGTTAGTGGGATATTGGGAAGGAATTCCTGGCTGGGAGGGTGGGGAGAGGCTGGAATGGAATTCCCAGAGAAGCTGTGGCTGCCCCTGGATCCCTGGAAGTATCCAAGGCCGGGAAGACTTGGAGCAACCTGGGATGGTGGGAGCAGGGGCTTGGAATTCCAGGATCTTCCCCCTCCCTTCCCACCCAAACCATCCCGCAATTCCATAACTTTTCCTCCCCCCGGGGTTTATCCAAACCCGAACGTGCCGCTCCCAAATTCCCGTGGGATCCAGGATTCACCCCCCCCCTTTTTCCCAGGTCTCATCAACAGCCACCGGAACATCCACGGGGATGCTCCGCGCCCGCTTCCCACGGCGCTTCCCAGGTGGAACAACCCCCGGAGCGCCTCCTACAGCCAGAGGGGAGGAGCCTTTTCCAGGAATTTCCAACCTCCCAGGAATTTCCACCCGCGCCAGACTCACTCCTGGAGGAAGAAATACTCCCTGGATAACCGGCTGCCCGGCTCGGCCTCCGAGGCTGGAAGCGCTTCCCGGGTTTTTGGGAGTTCCGGGGATATCCCGGCTCCGGAACCTCCGGAATCGTCGCCGGAGAGGCACGTGGATTTCACCACCGACGGGAATATCGTGGTGGACATCCAGGTGCCGCAGAGAGCCGGAGATGGGGGAGATTCCAGGGAGTTTTCCGGGCGGGAAGCGGCGGCGGCTCCGGCGGGAGGCGGGAAAAGCATCCCGGGATCTCCGTACGGAGAAGAGGAGAGACCTTCCCTATCCATATCCTTTAGCTCCACGTCCAGGACCGTGTGCCTGCCTGGAATTGGGGCGGGAAGCAGCTTCTCCCCCTCTGGAAGCAGCAGCGAGAGCGCCGTGACGCTGAAATCGGAGCCGCAGGAACCTTTGGAATTCGCGGAGCGGGAGCCGGCCGGGAATTCCGTCCGGATCAAAGCGGAGCCGCCGTCGCCGGGGAGGAGCTGGGAGGAAATCCGGGATGTTCCCGTGCATCCCAAACTCTTCGGCAACGACGGGATGTCCTCCGTTCCCGCTCCGGGTGGGAGCAGAATTCCCGGCGTTCCCAAACCTCCCGTCTCCGGCAAAGCCCTCAAATTCCGCAGGAACAACTACACCTGGGTGGCGAATCCCGGGAAAAGCTGGCGCCTGGGAAGGAGGTGGGTGGGGACCCCCCGGAAAGGCCTCGTCGTTGGGGCGGAAAGAGGAGCCAAACCCACCGCCAGGACGGATTTGGGAGGCAAGGCGAAAAAACCGGGAATGCCGGCCAAGCTGGGGGCGTCTCCCAGCAAATACAAGTGGAAAGCGTCCACCCTGCAGGCCCTGCCCTCCACTTCCAGCTCGGCATTCCGCTGGAGATCCCAGGAGCAGCGGGAAACTCCGGCTCCCGGCGTTCCTGGAATTCCTCATCCCGGCGTTCCTGCTCTGGCTCCTGGAGTTCCTCATTCTGGCGTTCCTCCTCCGGCTCCTGGAATTCCTCATCCCGGCGTTCCTCATCCCGGGGCTGCTCCGGGAGCGGCGAAATCCTCGGGAGAGGCTCCGTTATCCAGTTACAAAGTGAAGAGTCGGACCAAGATCATCAAGAGGAGAGGGAATGTGGGGTGAGTGGAGTTGGGGGTTTGTTTTTCCCCCCCTCCTCCCCGGGATCCCGTGGGAATCGTGGCTGTGGAATTGCAGGGAGAGGGGTGGAGGGGGTGTTTGTGGAGTCGTGGAATGGGCTGGGTGGGAAGGGAGCGGAAAAAATTGTGGAATTCCAACCCCCTGCCGTGGGCGGGGACACCTCCCACCATCCCAGGGTGATCCAAGCTTTCCTTGGACGCTCCCAGGGATCCAGGGGCAGCCACAGCTTCTCTGGGAATTCCAGCCCAGCCTCTCCCCACCCTCCCAGCCAGGAATCCCTTCCCAATATCCCACCTAACCCTGGGCAGCCATTCCCTGTGTGCTGTCCCTCCATCCCTCATCCCAAATCCCTCTCCAGCTCTCCTGGAGCCCCTTCAGGCCCTGGAAGTGGCTCCAAGTTTTCCCTGGAGTTTCCTTTCTCCAGGTGAACATTCCCAGCTCTCCCAGCCTGGCTCCAAGCCCTTGGAGCATCTCCAGGGTTTCCTCTGGAATTCCTCCAGCAGCTCCACATCCTCCTGCAGTTGGGAATTCCCAGTTGGATCCCGGGATTCCCTGAGGTCTCCGACACCTCCTCGCTCGGCAAAGGAAGCTGCGTTTTGTTGGATTGAATTTTCCAATTCCCATAAAATCGCGTTTGGGTCTTGGAAAACCGGGAGAATTGTCTTGGATCGTTGTCTATCCCTATAAAACCCTGGGATGGAGCTGGGAATGGGAGCTCAGCATTCCGGGGGTGTTTCCCTCCCTGCGTTCTCTCCACCTGGAAAACCGATCCAGGTGATGCCATCCCTCCATGGAATGGATTGGGAATCTGGGATTTTGGATTCCCAAATTGGGAATTGGGTTTCCTGCTCGGTGTTTCCCAGCTCCTCTGCTCGGTGTTTTCCCACAGGTTTTCCATCCTTGCCTTTCCCTCGTTTCGCTGGGAAAACTGGCTGTGCTGGGAAAATCCCTCTAAGGGAGGGAAAAGCTGGGAATGTTGTGGATTTCTTGGCAGTTGGGGACTCCCTCCATCCAGCAGGATCAGGGGAGGGATCGTGGATCATTCCCCTTGTGCTGGGAACTGAGGAGGCACCTCAAATCCTGGGATTTTGAGGTTCCCAGGTATACGGGAATTCCAGGATACGGAGGGATTGGGGCATTTCCAGGGAAAAGAACGGAGCTGGGAAAGGGGCTGGAGCGGCAGGAATGGCTCAGGGAGCGGGGGGGTGGGGCTCAGCCTGGAGAAAAGGGGGATTGGGAAGACCTTCCTGCCAGGTGGGAATTCGGGATCAATCCCAGGGAACAAGGGACGGGGTGAGAGGAATCGGCCCCAAACTGTGCCGGGAGAGGTTTAGTGGGATATTGGGAATATTCCTTCCTGGAAAAGGTGCTCAGGCTGCCCTGCAGGGACTGGGGATCCCTGTGGATGTGGCGCTTGGGGACACGGATCAGGGGTGGCCTTGGAAGTGCCGTGGGAAGGGTTGATGACGTCAGAGCTCTTTTCCAACCGAAATTCCAACCGTTAATTCCCCCATTCCACCGTTCCATCCCTCCCATCCGTCGAGCAGAAGGCAATGAAGGAATTTGACCATCCAATCCCTCCTTCTCCAGCTGTTCTTTGCCGGAAATCCCTCCCGTTCCCCCCAATTTCCCGGGAATTTTCCCCCTCGGAGCTTCTCCCCCTTATCCGGAGGAGCTTCCCGGTGGGATTCGGCGCCTCCCCTTTTCCCTCTGGAGCCCTGGGAATGTTCCAGCCCCCCTTCCTAAGCGTGTGACCTTTCCCATTCCCAGATTCCCGACGGAGAAGAAGAACATCTCCCCCGGCGCAGCCCTCAGGAGCCGCTTCCACCTCCGGAGGAAAAATTCCGCGCGGGGAAAAACTTCGGCCGCTCCCAAACGCTCCTCTCCCAAAATCCCGGCGCAGGTGTCCAGGCACAGGATCTGCAGGATCCCAGTTCCCACCAGGACGCAGGTGGCCGCCAAGGAAGGTAGGGATGAACATTCCAAAGGCTTCCCCAAGTTGGGCTCTTGGATTTTGGGAATGTGGTGCCGGTCCTGGATGTTTTGGCTCCTCTTTTCTCCTCCAAACAAAGGGAATTTTAAGGCTGTTCCTTTGTTTTTAAGGCGGTTTTCCAGGATTTTCAGGTTGGCAGGGGGGGCGGGAATCCGGAATCTCTTCCCCGAATTCCCGTTTTCCCGTGTCTGATTTTGGGGGGGTTTGATTTGCCCGGAACCAGCGCTAATTAATTGGGATCATTGGGAATCTGCATCCCTCTCCGGCTGCCTTGGCTTGGGAATTCTCAGAGGAGCATCCCAGAGCTGCTCTGCCATTCCCTGGCTGTGGAATATTGTTGGGAATGTTGGTGGGAATGGTTGTGGCTCCTGGCTCGGGTTCGGCTGTTCCATAGGGAGAATTCCATGGACAGGAGGCTTTTCCCGCCTGGAATGTGGTTGTTTGGGATGGATGTGGAGCCCCCTTTTCCTTGGGAATGGCTGGGGCAGGGATTTGGGGCGTGGTGGAGCTGGGAATGTGTCTGCAGATGGATTTTGGGATTGCAGTTGTTATCCATCCATCCATCCATCCGTTGGGATGTCGTGTTTTTCCTGGATGAGGGACTTTGGAGAAGGCCTGGAGCGATGGGATAACAGGGAATGGGCTTCCCACCGCCAGAGGGTTCGATAGGATACTGGGAAGGAGTTCTTGGCTGGGCTGGAATTCCCAGAGAATCTCTGGGAGTGTCCAAGGAAAGCTTGGATCACCCTGGGATGGTGGGAGATGTCCCTGCCCATGGAAGGAGGGTTGGAATTCCAGGATCTTTCCACTCCCTTCCCACCCAAATTGCATGGAGAGCCAGGAATTTTGTTATCCAGGACAGGGAGAAGCTTTTTGTGGGAGGAGAAGGCGAAGGAATTTTCTCTCTGGAGGGATTTGGGAACGCTGGGATTTGGGATCTGGGAGATGCCGGAGAAGAGGGAATAAGTTGGATGCTCTTCCATGATCTCCCAAAGCAGAGGGGTTGGATCCAGCACAGGTTTGTTTTCCATGGATAATGGTGGGATTGGGATCACAGCCCCCCCTTCCGCTTCCCAAAAATCATCCCCTGGGATACATTTTGGGATTCCTGCTTCCCAAACTGCTCCGTGGGGACCTGTGGCACATCCTTAAATAAACCTTTCTCCTGAAATAATTCCTTATCCTTCGGTAATTCCTTATCCTTAAAT